GAGCATTTTATTGCTTTTTCATGCCGCTCCTCATCCCAAATATTCCCCAAAAAAATATAAAATACTTCTTGTTGTTTGCTGTTCGATTTCTCATCACTAAAAAATCAAATAATGCTGAGCTCACAAGTGAATATGTGCGTGCGTACATAAAAAGAAGCGAGAGTGCAAATACAGAAAGCTATAAAGTATAAAATTTCTTGCTTGTTGCTGCTTTTATATTGCTGTGCCATGTGTGAATCTCATTCACTCTTCGTTGTCTTGATTTAATGCCCTCAGCAAATGCCAATTTCCATAAATATGATGCTGTTCATCCATGTCTGTGTGTGTTTTTTGGTGAAAATTTGAAAATCATCTAAATTCATCTGAATAATATTGATCAGCATAAAATTGGTTCTTGCCCGGGTGAAACATATTAATGCGTGGATGTTTCAATTTGAATTCATGGGATTCCGAGCTTTTTTTGCTTAAAACTTTAATTTAGAGTAATTCTATGAGTTTATAAGAGATTATTAAACTTGAGTAATTAAAACTTCACAACGTGCAACTTAATTCCGAAATTTCAAACCACTCAATACTCGTACAGTAAGTCTATAAAAAGCTTATGGTCTAAATTCGAATGTAGAATGAGAATTATAAGCTTATATTAGTGCTAATCCCAAATGATCTCACCGATAGAATGAAAAATTGCATGATGATGGTTAGCATGCAGCAAATAACGATGGAATCAACAGACGATTACCAACATGATGATGATGATAAGAAGGGCAATAACACACATTAAATCTCTGATCTAATTCAACTTAATTTTCAACCAAACTCTCGCCTTGCATTAAATTTTTAGAACGAACGTTCAGTCTCTATTCATGATTCTATCCACAACTAATCCGTTTCATTGCAATATTCTCTCCAACTACTTTGCCCGCATTAAAACTCTAACCGATAATAATGAATTTTTCATGAAGGCGCAACAAGCAAATTTTCCACTTCTACTCACACACCCGACGAAAGAGCTTTATTCAGATTTTGCAGCATTAAACTTCTACTATGGTGCACCTCGAACAAACAGTTTCAAGTCATTAAAAAATTGTTTTATTTTCATTTTTCAGCTTCTATTATTTTGGGGTTCAGAGAATGGAAAAGTTTCCTTTCTTTTCATCGTTAATGCTAATTAAATAGCTGTTTTGGAAAAAAAATAACATTTATAATCAAGTTTTGTGCTCCCTCATTATTATGCTGAACTATTGTTTTGGATGGTGAGAAAAAATAATTTTCTTTGAGGTTATAAAATCAAATCAAAGAGAAGTTGTGGAAAGTTTTTATTAAGTGAAAAAGTTATTTTAATCAACAATTTTAAGTGGATTTTGATTGAATTATTTGCTTTGATTTTTGCTTGAAATTTTAAGTTAAAAGTTTTGGAAAATTTTAAGAAAATTATAAGAAATAAGCTTAAAAGATAATCTTTGAAGTTCAAATAAAAGTCCGGCAAAAATATGATTTTAAGGTCTCCCTCTCTCACTTCGTCACAAAATTCATATGAAAAAAAATTCTTTTGTTTGAGCTGTCCCAAATATCCTTGAACCCCTCCCCACTAAGTCTAAGGCGTCAAAAGTGAACGACCCTTAATTCACACAAATATCTTGTCCAGAAAAAAACAAAAAACACAAAATTGATAACAAAAAGAGAAAAAGAGAGAAAAGAGCTCGAAGTCAATGAAATTTTATATAAAGTCTAGTCGATTCGGAGTCAGGGGCGAAGCCAAAAATTATTTAAGGGTGATTTTTGGGCTTTCCGACGTTTTATTTTGGTTCGAATATCAAAAAATTCAAAAACTAGTGTAAGCTTTCTGGAAATCGGGAAGGGTTTGGATAATGAAGCTCCACCCCCCCCCCCCCCCCCCCTCCCTTTCCGTGACTATACTCCTGCCCGGAGCAATAGTGCGGAAATGATCAAAACGATCTAAAAGAATTGAATCAAAGTTGATCAAAATCTAGTTTATCAGTTCTGCACCCTTGACTCGAAGTCAAATTCGCTATATAAAGTCAATAAAAATCTCAAGTCGACTTTGAGCTCTGCGAAAAAATTTAATTGAAAGTTGAACTTAGTAAGTTTGTGAGAGTTGAGGGACACCCATGCACCCATTTCATTAAGAGGGAGGTGGGGGACCCCTTTCGAGAAGTGGATCTGAGAAGAAAATCTAGCTCTTCGTGAATTGGATCTTACAACCCGATGAGGTGGATTAATTATATTACTTAACAAATTTCAATCTCGAGGGGGTATTACACCACCTCTGGCCATCCCCATACCATCCTTTGCCATCCTTATTTTTATATTATCCAAAAAAAAAACTTCAGTCCAGATAAGAGATGAATTTTTATATTTTTTAAGAGAGATGAAAAAACTTTTTTTTTTATGACACAAACAGAAGTAGCCATTTTTGGTCATCACTTGAGATGAACAATTTATTTATCTCCACATGCTTTTCAGTAGCTCACATACATCCACAAAATGTACACATTTTTAATACAATGTTTGAGACATCAAATGAGATGGAATATAAATTCTGTAAAAGAATAAAAAAAAATTGAGATGCAAAATTTAATGACGAAAGTTTGGGGATGTGAAATAAAAAATTTAATTTGTTGCAAAATGATGCATGAGCATATGGAAAATGGTTAGATTTTTTGAGAGGATTTTTTAATGGATTAATAAAATTCGTGGTTTTGATGAGTCATTCTTGATTTAATTTAAGTGGTTTGGAAAGATTAATGTATGCTGCATTTAATAGATCTTATGTCTGTTGTATGTGTGAACTAGGTTGAGGATTTAAGAGCAATCTTCAAGCTACAAAGATGCCTTTTTCTGAAACTTTGTTGAATTTCAATAAACTTTAACATTGTGAACTTAAAAAAGGGCAAGTCTGGTTGTCATCAGAACTACAATTTCAATATCATTTATTCTACAAGACATAAATTCTTATGACATCGAACAAAGAGCAATTGACATAATGAACAAAATAAGATAAAAAAGTAAAGTAAAGTAAAATAAAACACGAAACAATAAAAGAAAAAAAACTTTCAAAATTAAGAGAAAATACAGCATAACCCCTGAGTGGTACAAGTCCATTATTCTACCTATAAAAGTTCGCTCTAAAAGTAAAAAAGAAAAAAAAAATGTTTTATAAAGACAAACAAAAGTTTTAAAAACAAACAATGTAAAAACGTTCGGTCATTGCAAATGACAATTTTTTTTTATTATTATTCTGTTCAGTCTCTTTTACTGCAACATCCTTCCGCTCTCATTTTCCTGTCTCCCTGCCATTGCCATCATCATCGTTGAATTTAATCACATTATAGTTTATAGTATAGTAACATGAAATAGGATAGTAAATGCACAATGATAGTAATTACTTTCAAATAATATAGAACGAAAAGTTCGGTAAAACAAACTTCTTCTCCTTTTGTGTGTGTGTGTGCAGCACAAGCATTTACAGATAATATGTTTCCGTTTTTACTCTTGTTCCGTTAATAGAAGAAAAAAAGAGAGAGTTTTAGTAGCTGATGATGATAATGGAAGTAAATGGAGTGGGAGACCAACTTTGGACAAACTTATTCTGCACTTTGCGTCTGCTTACTTAGTTCCATTTATATGCTTTTTGATAGTTTCTGTTGAACTCTTGCTGCTATTAATTCTCTGTCTTGCACTTTATAATATCAACAATTGTTCGGTGCTTCTTCGTCTTTTCTTTCTTTTTACAAAATAATATAAACTTTCTTTGCATTCATCTTTAATCCCCTCCTCCAACTCACTTTTAATGCTATGATTGTGCAAAAAGTTTCCTCATCATTTCGTGCCTCATTTTTATTTCCTTTCAAATAAAAAGCAGAGAGATTTAGCATTTTGCTAGAGATGGAATCTCTTCTGAATGGAAGCAAACGGAGAAAATAATGATGGTAGCATGTACAATGGAAATGAATGAGTTACTGTTTCAATTGTTATTTTGTTGCATACGAAAACGAAGTTACATCAAAAAAAAAGAGAAGTCTTCTTATTATTCTTATACTTTTTTTATTTTCTGTTCTTTGATGAACTAGACAGTGACTGAGTGGGAGATGGAAGTTATTTTTGAAGTCTTGGGAAAATATTTCTTGTTTTGAATCTTTATTTCCTTTGCTGAGTTATTTTTCTTGGGGGTTCTGATTATTTTTTGGGAATTCGACTTTACTTGAATAGCACAAGTTGGTTAAATTGAATAGAAATCTAGCAACAAGCCTGCGTGACTTTGGAATGGTACTTACTTGATTACTTCGATGACTGTACAGATCAATTGTGATTCATAGCCTCACTCAAATGACGCTGAAAGCTAGCTCTATAGCTAGCTACCATTTGCCAATTTCTAAATGTAATGCTGTCTCGATCAGCAGCCTCCTTCCATGATTTATTTGGTCTTCTACGCACTCTTTGTCATCCACATATTCAGAGTTAATTCTTGTCGCCTCAAATCTCATAAAACAACACATTCAATGGAAACACTAAAATCATCCTTCACTCTGAAGACATTGAGACAGTTTCGTCTCAGTCTTCTTCTTACTTTTGCCTGTTGCAGTTCAGTTTTTCTTTTATACTTTCCAAGAATGACGACTTTTTATGACTTTAAAGAAGATGGAAGAAAATAAAATGAAGTGAGTTAATGCTTTTACATTTCACGACGAAAAATGCTGGTGCTGTGCTATAGATACAGATGAATCGAGAGAATGGCAAGCACAAAAAAAAATTCTTTTATTAAATTTACTTCTTCTTTTTATTCCTATGGCAAAAATAGAAGGGATTTTGAAGAGATTTTTTTATTATTATGCTGTGTGCTGAATGTATCATAGACTTCTTGAATAAAAGCATCATTTGTAGCTCGGATGTGAAACTTTAAAAAGTCATTTAAACTTTTTCGTTCACGAAAAAAAATTTGTTACTTAAAATTTCCCTTTTTTTTATTTTCTCGTTCACAGGGAGCATCTTCCAGCTTAGTTGTGAAATTTGCCGATACCGAAAAAGAAAGACAAATAAGACGCATGCAACAAATGGCTGGCCACATGAATTTATTAAGTCCCTTTGTATTTAACCAATTTGGACCATATAACGCTTACGCTCAAACGCAACAACAAGCTGCTCTTATGGCAGCTGCAACGGCGCAAGGAACATATATGAATCCTATGGCTGCTTTAGCTACCCAAATACCTCACGCTTTAAGTGGTAAGTTCTATTGATACTTCTCTGTACGGCTTAGAGGTTTGGATGAAAATTTTTAAGTCTTTTATTTTTCTGTGGATAAAATTTTGCTAACCCATCTGAGCCTCTATGTCTCAAATAACTTTGTGTAGTAATCACTCATCCATTTCTCATTAGAAAATAGAGTCTAGTAAATTTTCTGTCTGTATAATTTGTAGTCAAAAGCCCCCCTCCGAGTCCATGTCAATTTACTTCTTTTTTTATTTGAGAAATTTTATGTACAAATGACTAGAAATATTTCAAAATTAGGAATCTTTAAGAATTTTGGAATTATTTCAAAAAAACAAATTTCATCCTTAATTTTTCACGATTTAAAAAAATCCATTAAAATGCCCAAAGCTAAAAAATAAATTGCAATTTCATGTCACTTGACTAAAATCTCTGAAAACAATTTCTCCCCCTTTCTTCACATGCAATCGTCATCGTCATTGTCATCAACTTTGTACAAAAAAAAAACAATTTTACACTAACACTAAAATGCACAAATAAACACACAAAATCCATCAATTCATCTTCATGTATTGTCACCGAAAAAAAAATTAAATCATAATCATGAAAATCATGCACATACGTACATACATAATATAGGACAACCTGTTAATGCATCTTTGCCATCCCCAACAATGCCAACATTCAACATGGCTGCCGCTCAACCAAATGGTCAACCAGCAGGAGCAGAGGCTGTTTATTCAAACGGAATACCTCATACGTATCCTGGACGTAAGAATCATTTAATTATTTTAATTATAAAATTGTTGAATCATTTTTATCAAAATTTTGTCAAGACACTGAATTTTTTTTGGTGGTTTTATTTCTCGAATAAGTTGAAATTCTTGTAGATGCTCCAGCAAAATATAATATTTTTTTAACTATAGCTAATCATTGATTTTATAAAAAACATTGAAATTTAACCATCAAAAAAAAAATTTCTCATAAAATTTTAAGACCAAATCCAACACTCAACACTGATGCTATCAAATTTAACCCATCCAGATGCACTACAATTATCGATACCAGCACAAGGGCTGGCGAATGGTGATGCTGCATTACCACACGCTGCTTATCCCGGCATTCAACCTTATCCCGGTGTTGGTAAGTGCAATTTAGATTAAATTAAGTTTTAGACAAAAGAAATTGAATTTCTGCCGATGTCTATATATTTTTCTGTATATGTCTATGTGTTGTTTTGTTCACATTAAAAAATATATTTAAATATATATAAATTGATATATATGAATATATAAATTGATTGTGTTCAGTGTTTTCTGTTTAGCTTATTGATGATATTTCATATTGTTGATATTTCAATATTCAAATATTTATTTTCATTTTAATAAACTTTTTTTATTATCTCTGCTTCCACATTGGAAGTCGATTTATTATTTTATGCCTTAAATTCTGTTGAGGCTTTTATTGCTCTAATAATTTTTAATTTTATCTTAAATTTTTTTATTATTTTTCTCATTTCAAAAAGTTTGCTGTAAATTTTTTGATGCCAACTCCTTTTATTTCTCATACTTATTGTAGATGTTGTCTTCTTCTCAATATATTTTTGCAAATTTTCTACTTGCTATAATTGTTATTCTTTTTATCTATGAAATAAATCAACTTTTTACTAATTGTCATGTCTTCAATATCAAATAAATCAATATCAATCTTTATAATGACGGTTGTTTGTAGATTGTTCTGAATTATTTCTATAATAAGAGTAATTTAGGATGAGATGTAAATAGCTTTTGTTATTGAGATGTGAATTAAACACAAGCAAAATGAATTTTGTTTGAAATTTTGAATGATTTTTAAGAGTGAATTTTTACAAAAATCTTCAACCAAAAATTCAAGATACAGAAAATCTCATTTGTCATAAAACTACGCCCCCAAAAAAAGACATCATCAAGGTCACATTTTAAAATCAAATGAACAAACAAAATGATGATGAATGGATTTTAAATTGATTTTTTTCTATGTCATGATTAAATTATGGAAAGACAATTTTTCTGCATTAGAAAGTGACTTATTGATGGGTACATTAAGCCTATGACGACAGAAAATTGTAAACTCATTTGCGGGAAAATTGACATTTTTTGTTCAGTTAATGAGATTTTTTTTCTATTTATTTGCGTCAAGCCTTTATTGGATGAGAAATTGTTTAAATCTTAAATGGATTCTTTTTAAAGAAAATATTTAAATTTATGTTAAGTTCAGTCATGAATTAAACAACTTAACTTCTTTTGGATAAAGCTCATGACATTACATTCATAACGATTTACACATCTAATCAAGGATATAAAACTCATTCATTTGTTTAATCAGTTTCAAACCTATGAATTGAAAACCTTATCATTAAATTTAAATTCTAACTCCATCAATTTACCTAATTTAGCAATTAGAACTTCAAAATCATGACCGTAAATCAACAGGAAAAATAAAATTCAATTATCGATAATGAGTTTAATTGCTTTCCGTTTCAATTTGAACAAAATTAAAATAATTTCATTTTAATATGCTCCGCAATTTAGTCCATTCTGCTAATAACAGTTTAAATATTCATGAGAGAAAAAAATCATTCAGAATTTCAGCATTCAAAATTGCACTGAATTAAATATCTTATCACAAAAATCAATTTAAATAAAACTTATATGAAATATCGACTCTAATTGAGAGAACTAATTGGTTTTCAATCAAATTAGATTGAATTATATCTTTTTTTATAAAAATCATAAAATGTGCAAAATAAATTATTTTAATTGATTGCTGGTTAATTAGTGGCATTTTAGTGATAATTAGAACGTTGGTTGATAATTGAATGAGCTGGATCTCATTGGGAGGAAATTACCAATATTTACCTAGTTTTAAAATTTAATTAATTATTTCCTAGAAATCTTGAACTCACCAAATACGCACTTCAGTTCTATGGAAATGTTTATTTCTAGACAAAACAAATTTACTTAAAATTTATCTTCATGAACAATTCCAATTAAACATCCTAAAGGCATATGTGATACCCAATTAATTCCAAAAAAATCAACTTCCAAGTATTTCAACAAAAAAAAAAATTCATCTTAATTCTTACCATTAATTGGCTTAAACTATGATAAGATCACATTTCAAGAGTTCATCTTTCCAATCAAAGATTCCAAAAATATCAAATCTGCTACAAGCCTTTTTAATTGAATACAATCTCGTCTTTTAATTGCACTAACGAATGATCCTTTGTTCGTATGTCCAAAATAAATCCATCCACTTACAATTCAGATCTCTGAGCACACAGAAACCGTAAGCTTTAATTAAAATGTCATTTAGCACAAGCTCTTCTTTATTACACACACAAAAAAACGAGAACGTTTAGGAAATTTTTTCCATGTGAAATCTCCTTTGGCCTTTTCTTTCCATCCACATTCACACACTACGTGATGTTTTAGATCTGAAAAGGATAAATGCATGAAAAAAAAATATCATACATGTGAGTCAACACAGGGAAAAAGGGGGAGAAAGACAAAGTAGAAAATAAATATTCATTATGAAAACGTTTTGTGGATGTTTGTTCCAACATTTTTAATCAACCACTTTTATTCACTTCAAAGCTGGAAAGTATCGAAAAAAGAGAAGTTTTTCTGGGTTTTATTTTTTTGTGAGTCGCATTTTTATGTGTTGAAATCGAAGGGATGATAGATAGGAAGGGGGATATGGCAATTATGGTGCTTTTTGGAGTAACAAAATTAAAGTTTCAACTTAAGTCAAATTTTGTATTTTAGGGAATTTATGGTGATTTTTAATTTTAGGGGTCGAGGGGATTTGATAGCCCAGAAAGCACAAGTTGGATAATCGATCAGAAATCTGACTTTAGCTCTGACATGGAGCTGGATTTGACTTAAATCTGACTTTATTCTAGAGTCACTCCGGATTTCTAATCGATAGACGTGCTTTAAAGGATCATAAATTTTCGAATCCATTTCCAGCAATCAACAAAAAATAAATAAATTTTTGCACATTTTTAAAATAATGCAGAAAAAAATTAAAAAACATTTGTCATTAAATTTTTGATGTTTCAATGTATTTTAAATGTTATATGATTGTTGAATATTATTTAACAGCCTATCCTGCCGTCTATGGACAATTTCCACAAGCTATTCCTCAGCAAATTGCAGCTGTTCCAGCTCAACGAGAAGGTAAGAGTTCACCATCTATTTTTTAAAAAAAATACACACAGCTACACATACACAAACTATAGCACCACAGTTATCTAAGATAGACATTCCCCAAAAATATTATTTTTCTTTATATTCGACTTCTTCTTAACCCAACTGACTTTCTCATGACTTTGTATATCTGTAAATGTATACGAAAAAAAAGAGGATTTTTCTAGGTTTATGTTTGTTGAATATTGTTGGCTAATTAATTTTTATAGATTTTTTTGTGTCTATTTCCATAGTGTTTAATATCTCTATTTACACATAGTCATACATACAAATGATACTGTCTATAAGATAAAATTGCTGCTAATTTGCTTACAATGTTAATTTATAGCCAAAAATATTTTATTTTATTTTATTTTTTTGTTTTGTACACAAAAAACACACACACGAGCCCTTTTTTTGTTACACAATTATTCTTACTATCTAAATTCGCTGTGAATGTTGTTTCAATTTTTTTATTCATATACATTTCTATTTCTATATCACGCATGATGGATATTTTATGATTATTATTTTCATTGAGATATTTTTATGATTGAAAATGGCAAATAAAAATTGATTTTATCATCAGTTTAAATAATTTATTAGAGGTCATTCACTTATGTTGTCCGTCAAACCATGATATTAAGACCGTTCCCCCAGTCACATCATTTTCTTTGTTTGAGCTTGCACAAATTCCTTAACCACCCCCCCCCCCCCCCCTAAATCTAGAACGTCATAAGTGAACATCCCTTTATAAGAATTTGATCAAATTGTGTAGGTTTCTAGCCAGGGTCGTAGCCAGAGTTTTTTATTTGGAGGGGGTTTGAATTTTTTCTTCAATAAACACTAGAAAATTGAAGAATTTTTTCAAAAAAAAGGGTGCCGGGTTGACCTCCTCCTGAATTTACCCCTGTTTCTGGATGTCAGGTGAAGTTGATAATTATCAAGGTTGATCCAAAATGGTTCAAAGAGACGTAGATGGAAGCTTTAAGCATTCATTGACATTAAATAGTGGGTGCAATGGGTCAAAGATCTGCCTTGAGATTGAAATTCGTATTCAGAACAAAAGGTCTCATTTTAAAATTAAAAATCAGTTCCTTAGAGTTAGAGGAGTCCAAGAAGATTTAAAAGAGTCAAAAGAGGAGTTATAAGGTTGCCCAAGGGTCTGAAATCCCCCAGAAATTGAAATTTGTTCAGATTGTAATTAAATTCCTTCTAAAAATCAAATATGTGGACAAAATCCCTGAAATCTCCTGTAAATCAACTGAAATTTATTCTGCTGTTAACCAAGATGCATTGGAAGTATAAAATTCAAACGTACCAAACTCTTAAAAATCAACAAAAGTTAAAAATCCAAAAAAAATCATTGAAGAAATCCCAATTTTCATTTAAATTAAAATATCTCATTTCCATAGAGAAGAAGACTTTCTTCTGTTTAAGTTGCAACTCTCAACAAACCAGAGAAGTTGGTTAAAAAAGTTTCAATTCCATCCAGATTTTTTTTTCTTCATTTACATGCACATGTCATTTGTGTTTATTAAACCAAAGAGTATGAAAAAAAAATCAAATCATTGCTATAGCAGCTTCACTTCATAGAGGACAAAACTTATTACATTTGCCATTTTCATCATGAAATGTTGTATGTTAATTATAATTTTCTGTGTATGTTAAAAGAAAAACTTTTTCATTTGATCTCCTTTTTTTCTCACTCAATATAAAAAAACTCTTTGAAAGAAAAACTTTTTTTAATTTTTTTTTTTATTTCCATAACTCAATTTAAAATTTTCTCTCTAATAAATATTTATGATGAGATGTATATACTTTCGAAAAAATAAATTATGAATTAATTACAACAAAAAAAAAGTATCAAAAAATGAAACAAAATTACACATACAAAAATTTTTTTTTCTCTCTTAATATTAAATTCACAGGATGCTCCATATCTGGACCTGAAGGCTGTAACCTGTTTATTTATCATTTGCCTCAAGAATTTGGCGATGGTGAATTGATGCAAATGTTTATGCCATTTGGCACGGTTATTAGTTCTAAAGTATTTATCGATCGCGCTACAAATCAAAGTAAATGTTTTGGTGAGTATTGGGTTGCGGGATCTGTAATGTCTGAGCTGAGTTGAATCTGGTGTATTGAGTCATATGTATGCGAAACTGCCAAGCTTAGATTTAAGCCTCTATAGTCGAAGGGTTCGGCAACAGGCTAGAAATCGTTAACTCTTACAGTTTGGGAGTGTGAGTTCAATTCCTATCAGATACAAATCTCTCAAATATTACATTGTTGTACATTAAATGACTGAAATTGATGAACTTTTGTAAGTGGCAAATTAAGCATCAATTCCAGCTCTAATGAATGTACAAATAAAACCTTAATCTTCAATACTAATTCTCAATTTTTCATATCTAGGTTTTGTTTCCTTTGATAATCCTGCCAGTGCTCAAGCAGCTATTCAAGCGATGAATGGTTTCCAAATTGGAATGAAAAGACTGAAGGTTCAGTTGAAAAGACCTAAAGATGCCAACCGACCTTATTAACAATCAGCAACAGAGTCATGCGGCATTAGAAAAGTAGTTTATCAGGTGAGCGATACCGTAAGTCGTACGGCTACGTTTACCACAAGTACTACACCGAAATATTAAGTTTCTTATATATCTTTTCAAATAAAAAAAAATACTATTTTGTTTCAACATTTTTTTTTTCAATACAATATTATATTATGAAGAAATAAAAGAAAAAAGAATAAATAATAATAAGAATAATAAATTATATTAATAATATCTCTCATTTTTTGCTTATTATATGAAACAAAAATGAATATTTTTCCTTTTTATGATTAAATGAAAAATAAAATAAATTAAAATGATGAATAAAATGAAAAAAAAAATTAGCCGAAGCTTTAAGAAAAAAAAATAAATTAAATTAAATGAACAAAAAAAAATTAGTGGAAAATATTTAAAACACACACAAAAAACACACATTAAACTTATTGATTAATTAAATTTATTAATTACTTACGTACTTAATTACTTACTTAAAGGAATAGTAAATAAAAGAAATTAAAAAAGTTAATTTTCCCCTTTCTATCGTTGATAAACCAAAAGAAAATAACAAAAACGAAAACAATACCAAAAAAAATTGTAATTTGCATATTTTTTTCATCTCGAATATCAATTTTTATGTAAAATAATAACGACGATGAAAATTGATTACAAAAAGTAAGAAGAATTTTTGGTGAGCAAATTGATTTGATGGAAGAGATTATGCTGAGCTTTTTGAGATTTGTTTAATCTGGTCTGAGAATTTTAGAATCAAGTTTTTGAACAGTTGGTTCTGGTTTAAATGAATTTAAGGTTTGATCTTGAATTTAATTCATTTTGTTTTGTAAAAACTTTTTGAATCTAGTGAACTGAAAGGACTCAGTGGCTTAGTGCCAAATGTTTCATGTGTTTTAAGATTCGGCATGGAAACGTTTTTGCATGCTGCTTTTAGAATCAAATACACAAAAAACGAAGCTAACACCATAAATACTGCTAGTTATAGAATTGCTAAAATTAGACTGAAAGTCAAGGTTTATTCTGGCTTACTTATTAAAGTATGAGACGCTAGGCTCCGAAGAGCTTAAGTTTACATTTTGATCTCCAATCAAGTATTGATACAAAACCAAATACAGCAATTACCCTACAAAAATTTCAGCATAATCTCTTTATTAAGTCTTTAATCACCAACAAACAAAAAATCTAAAAACACTACAAAAAAGTAAATAATTTTGGCCAATTTTGAACGACGATAACTAAATGAAGAAGTAAGAAAAATAAATTATTTAAAAAAAAGTTCACAAGTCTCTTTTTGATTCTTTCTTTGAATGTTAATCTTTAGAAAAGGATATAAAGTATTATTGAATGATATAAATTTATTAGATGACGGACGGAAGGAATAAAAATGATAAAAAAATGATTGATGATAATGATGCAGGAGATAGTATATGCTTAATTTAAATTAAATTATTTATTCAATTTTTTTTCATGCTAAACCATAAACATCAGATGAAAAAAAATGGTAGAAACTAGAAAATATTAATCACTTTTAAATGATGAATAGAATTTACACATATTAAATTAATTTTTAGAATCTTTTTTAAAAATTTATTGAGAAAAACATGAAATGGAAACAAACAAAAAATCTTTAATAACGTCATTAAATTAAGTAATCTCTTTATAATAACGAATAATTAATTAAATTAAATTAAATAAATTCTCTCACATTCTCTATATTACCAAGAACATAAAGTAAAAAAATTTGAAACTTTTTAAAAAAAATTGGCAGACTTTTTCGAGAAAATAAAAGAGTTTAAAATTTCCATAATTATTAATTAAATAATCAAAAAAAAATTGAAAAAAAAATATTTTCAATAAATTCTTATCAATCATATTGAAACGATATAAAAAAAATTATACATACATCAATCCATCCCCCTCAGCTCCATTTTTCATAATGCCAATAATAATTATTAGCATTGTAGTATCTCACGTTATGTATACTTTTTAAAATAAACAAAAAAACTAATTAATTAAATAATTCACATACATACATGAGCTTTCCCAAAAAAAAATTTTTATTATTAAATAAAACAATGAAAATATATATATTGTAAATCAAACTGATTTTTATTTAAGTTAAGAGAAAAAAAAATCACATATGAAATAAAATTGAAATGTTAACAATTATACTAATTTTTGTTTATTAATTTCTGTTGACTCTTTTTCCCTCACTGGATCTCTCAATTGTTTTTAAAAGCTTCAAAAAAATATTTGCGTCAGGCATGAATTTTTATGAATTTTAGATTTGATCTTAATCATTCATGAAAGCTGAATTTTATTCAATGCCACATTAGTTCAGGTCTGTACAAAAAAATCATTAGAACTTCTGGCTTTTTCAATTAAATAATGAAAATAAAAAAAAGGTAAAATACGAATTTAATTTCAAGAATGAAGTCAGATTTCAGAATTGAATTGGAAATATGAATTTCTAAATTTTTCAGTTAGATCAGGTAATTATATCTAGGGAATCGAAATAATAACAGAATATTTCTTTTTTTTAAAACTATCAAAAAAGAATCATTTGGTAAGGTTTTCAATAATTTTTCTTACAATCTTTGCTTATTTAGTCCAGATAGGTGCTTTTTATAACAAATTTATATTAGAAGCTTATTATTAAATAGCTTTTTTCATAATTTTAACTTCTAAAAGATTTCAAATACTGATTCTTGATTCAAATTAATTAAGAACATTTTAGGTTATATCTGATAATTTAGATTCTTTCTATAAACACTAGCAATAATGTATTGGAATATCTGAAGAAATTAAGCGAGTGTCTTAACCGATCTTAGAATTCGAACTCATGCTTTTTAGAAATAATAATCGCATGTTCTTAATTTTAAATGGATTTCATATTCAAAAGTCGAGTTCAGTTGAGTCGATTTCTTACAAAATTCATGATGGCTTAAGAAGTTTTTAAAATGATTGTTCAAATGCTTCCCGAGCGACAAAAAATAAGCGAAGACACCCAAACAAAATTCATACTGAATCAACTTGAATTTCTAAAACAGATTAGCTTTCAATTAAACAGTGGAAGCTTAATTCCAACTGTCTTTAGAATCGAGTCATATTTTTTGATCCAAATTCTTCAAGAATTATTTCTAAATGCTTTAATTAAATTAAATTGATTCAAATAAGACCTGAAAATTACACTTTATAATTAAAACAATCTCAAAAAACAACACAAAATCATCGCCAAATTATTTCAATGCAATTTAAAAATAAAAATTATAATAATGTCAAAATTCCTTTTTCAAACAATTAAGTTACCAAAAAAAGAAAGCTTTATAGTTAAGCTATCCCAAGATGTATGAATATGCACAATTGATGTGTCTCAAAAAAAGATATTAAAAAATTCACAAAAAATAAATAAACACAAAAAACGTGAAAATACATTGACGCACTCAAAAACAAGGCTAAGAAAAATTAATGAAGTTAGCTTCTTATGATAAGTTAAATATTTCAATTTACAATAAAGAAAAAAAAACCTATTTCAATTTTCCTACAAAAAAAAAATTTGAGAAGAAGAAAAAAAGTATTTTATTAATAATAAAGAATAATGAAGACGATGCTGATGATGATATAAAAAAAATAATAGTCATATAGATGAAGCTATGATGAATTCCATACATACGGGCTGTGAATTGAATGTTGAAAACTTTAAAATATAAAATAAACTAAAAAATAAAATTAAAGATTATGAAAAAAAAACTATTAATTGTGTACCATGATGATAAATGAACAAACAAAAAAATATGTCCAGAATTTTAAATCAATTTGTTTAGGTAAATTTTCAAAATGTGAAATGAAACTAAGAAAAAAAATAATAATGAAAGTTACCAATTTTAAAATGACGAAAAATGTGATTAATGTTTTTGGTTTTGCTGCTTAGGAGAAAATTTTTCTGTCGCTGACTGTCTTTTAGTTTCATGATGAATTTTTCATCCTCCGAATAAAAAATATCGTTGATTATGTTTTAAATAATTTGTTTGTTTAATGGGCGCGCACAATTTTGTTCGTCTTATTTTATTTTTTTGTCGCACAATCGTTATGAAAAATATGGAAGGAAGACATTCTTAATTGCATTGAAATAAAACGAAAAAATTTGTTGTGAATTTATAAAAATAAAATTGTGAGAGATCCAAAGTGGAAACATTAAAAGCGAGGTCAAATTGATGAAGATGAAAAAAAATTTCGTGAATTTTTCATGTCACATTAAATAATTAGTGAGAGAAAATGGTGTACTCGAAAATTCTCTTTAGATGTTTGATTCATTAAGAATTAATTAAGAAGCTTTGATTGATCTTTTAAAGAGGTCGAAAATAGAGAACTTTTCCCTTCTCAAGAGATTGCTACTGTTGAAAAATTAATTAAAATTGCTTAGGAGATTTGATTATGAATTCGAAGCTAAAAAGATCAAACGAGAATAAGAAAGAAAATCTCATTTAATTTAAAGAGAGTACCTAGAAGTCATTTGCTGGGTATCAAGTATTTTTTGGATGTTATTTAAATTGTGGAAATTTAGGAATATCGGGAATATCTAAGAATTTTTGAATCTTGGCAATTAAATTTTGTAATCTTAATGATTGAGACTGGTCTAAATTGCTCCTCAATTGATGGACCTCAGTTTGAATTCTTTATCTCAAATTAATTGCGAGATGAATTTCTAATTGCATAGTTTTGCATGAAAAACCTTCAAATCTTTAATATTTCAATTAATCCACTGAACATCAAATATTTTAAGGATCTTTCCGTTAAAATATTAAAGCTCAGCCATCAAAACAAATCTCACTAATTTTAAGATTCAAAATTTTTCTTATTTTCATCAATTTTTTTCAATAAACTTTATTTGCACCTTCAAAAAAATAATAAAATAACTTCTGGAAGTTGAAACTTGCCAAAAAACAAATCATTCATCCCTCATCATTATCTGACTAACG